GTCTGGGTGACAGAGTGAGACTCCAACTCAAAAAAAAAATAAAAATAAATAAAAATAAAATCTGCATTTGTAGGATGTTTTAAGATCTTTTTTCCAGGGCACTTTGTCACCATGGTCTCATTTGGTTTTCTTTTTTTTCTTTTTTTCTTTTCTTTTTTTTTTTTTTTGAGTAAGAGTCTCACTCTGTAGCCCAGGCTGGAGTGCAGTGGCATGCTCACAGTCACCACAACCTTGGCCCACTGGGCTCAGGCGATCCTTCTGCCTCAGCCCTCCAAGTAGCTGGAACCACAGGCACGTGCCACCATGCCGTCTAATTTTTTTTATTTATTGTAGAGAAGTGGTCTTGCCAAATTGCCCCTGGCTGGTTTCGAACCCCTGGACTTAGGCAATCTTCTCGTTTATTTGGTTTTCAGAACAAGTTTTTGAGAAAAGAGCTAGCAATATAATACCCATTGGATAGATGGGGAAATGGAGGCAGTGAACATTTGAAATCTTTCTTAATTTGGCAAAAGGAAAAAAATTAAGGGGACGACACCAATATCCAGTTCATTGGCTGGCTGTAAGAATTTAAGGAAATGATGTAGGTGAAGAGGCCAGCACACGGGGACCCTGACATGTGGTGGCTGTCTAGACAGGCTCTCCTCTGCCCACCCTCCCCTCCCCCAGCCTCTCTTCCTCAGCCCTCACTAGTGTCCAGACCTGGAGAGGAGCAGAGCAACAGCTACGGCTGTGTGGTTGGTGCTGCACGTAGGCACCTGCCCAAGAAGGCAAGAAGAACAGAAATCCAGCCAAGCCCTGAGGCCCTGGAGCCGAATCCACCCTAAGAGACACCTGGGGGGCTGCTTTTCTAGTTTTCATGAAGGTGCTTATGGTTTATTATACAGCCCTGACTGAGGGCAGTAGTTGACAGAGCTGCAGGTCCCAGGAAAGGGGACAAGAACAGACACTCCCAGGACCCAGGCAGGCCCCCCTCTCCAGTAGCCACACCTGTCCCGCCCTTCGTGTCTGAACCTACTGCAGGGAGAATAGCCCAAAGGCCTTCAGCTGCTGAGGAGAACAGGGACTAGACTTAGAACTTGCCACTTAGGAGGATATTAATTAACGCAACTTTGAAGAAAGAGAAATACGCAGAAGACTGGCTCCCTGAGAATGATCTTCCTTTGGAGACCTCTGGAAGCAGGGGTTCCTTCTTGGGCTGGGATTTTTATTGTGGGTCTTAGTCATGCTGTCAATATCCCACTAAGCATCACAATCAATTGAAAGGGAAGCCTGGAAGTTCCATGGGGAAATGTGTGCTAAATCGGATTAGTTCCCGTCAGAACAAATGGGTAGTTTCCATAAGGCCTGGACATTTACAAAAATACCACAAAGATTCAAATGTTGGCGGTTCCAAGTGAGCTGTGATTCTGAGTTTAAAGCACCAAGTCCTGGCAGCCCAAGAGATCAAATTTTCTTCAAGATATCTCTGAGGGCTCAGAACCACGGTTTCACAGCTTGTCCTAATGGCTAGTTCAATGGTTCTCAAACATGAGTGTGCATCCCAATTTTCTGGAAACCTTGTTAAAAAATAAGATCCGTGGGCCATGCTCCCCAGAGCTTTCAATTTGG